CACAAATTCTGCCTTCTGCCATTTGGCAGACAGAGATAGTGATGAAGTAAAGATAGACATAGAGATTAGAAATAAAGTAGATTATCATTTTGCTGCATTATTTGCTTTTTATCAATATTAAATGAGCATTTTTGAAAGGGACCTGGGATCTAAGATTTCCAATGCCAGTGACAACTGCTTTATAATTGTTGAGCATATAACTATAAAGCTTGAGCCTTAAAACAAAACAATAAGATCACTGTCAGAATTATAGCCTAACTATAAGTACCTACCTCCTTACAAATATGCTTTAAGTAATAGATGGTAGTAATTACAATTTAAGAGATTTACTAGTACTTTACTTAGCTTGGTGGCCTGCAGTCTGTGTGTGATTGTGTTCAGAAATCCAGTGTTGAGAAACCACTGCATATGAAATCTTCTCCAAGACAGCAGAGTACATCAATATGAGCAGAACAATCATCACATCAAGTGAGAGTATTCACAGAGATGCACCATGAGCACCTCATAATTTGTTCAATATCAGTAATTTCCCTGTCAGTTTGGGGTTTGGTCTTAAAGCAGCTACTGCCACACTCAGACAGACAATCAACAAAACAACACAACACAACACAACACAACACAACACAACACAACACAACACAACCACAAGGACCCAACAGTGCATGGCACATGTGCAAAAAAAATCAGCACTGCTTCCTCACTTTTTCTCAGCCTGCAGTTGAATGCATCCTCCCAGAACTCAGTAAGCACTGGAGAGGCAGCCACTTTAGAGGGAGAGAGATCCAGCAGGAAGTCTCTCAGACCTGGGATGATAGACTGTTCAATGGCAAATCCAATGGCTCCAGCACAGAAGCTGAACCTCAGCATGTCAGGGTCTGTTACCCAAGACTCACTGCCGATCCACTGGCGAGGTGGAGAAGGCTTGAGTGACAGCTCCTCCAGCAGGATCCTCATGTCTCCAGAGGCTGTAAATGCCACAACAACCTTTGCTGTTGACCTGGAGAGATAGTGCATAATATAATATCAGTCTACATGTATATATATCATTTCGTAACAATATCACTAATAACTATCAGAGAAATTTGATGATGGGGAAAAAGATACATTTCCAATTTGCCACTGAGATCATAGAAAAATCTTCAATCTTGCATTTTACAGAACATTTATTTGGTGTTGTGTGCAGTTGGCCAGTGTCAACACAGGTATCAATAGCATAATAAGTGATATAGAAACCTGCGGATAACATCAGCCACTCTCTGGATCCTGCTGCGTGGGTGGGTCCGATAAAAAGATTCTGAGTATTCCACACAGATTCCCTCTCTGTGTGCTGCGTCCAGGAAAGACACCATGCCATTATTGCCATAGTCTGAATCTGACCTGACAGCACCTATCCATGTCCAGCCAAAGTGTTTTACCAGCTTGGCTAGAGCGTCAGCCTGAAAATGGTCACTAGGGATTGTTCTGAAGAAAGTCGGGTACTGCTGCTTATCTGACAGACATGCACAAGTGGCATAGTGGCTCACCTAAATGAAAACAACAGTGTAATTATTTAACAGGACAGACAAAAAAATAAACAGCACTGTACTCTGTATTAACCGTAGTTTGCCAGAAATACACAATATTTACTTGAGGAATGTTAAAGGACCCAATGATGCGTGACATGCTGATGGATGGTGTGGACCCAGACTCACCAACGACAGCCATCACCTTACCAGACTGTGAGCAATTATCACTGGTGTAAAACACTGGGTCCAGGCTGCTTGAAACCTGGAATGCCACATGCACAGCCACAGGAACTGAAACACAAGAGTCATAGATCTGATAACCAAGCTTGATGCCAGGAAGCAGCTCCGTGCTGTTGTTAATCTCCTCGATGGCGAAAACCATTGCACGTGAGAAGCGAAGTTCACGGGAGTCCATGCTGCACACAGACATATACACGATACAAGAGAACTGCAACTCATAGTTATTGACCATCACCGATAGCTTCACTGCATCTTTGAACCAAATATATATCAATATGTGCCTGAACACCAGAAAATTGAAAATAAAGGATTATTCATCTTAAATTAAATCTGTAGTCTTAAATATGCAGATTACAGTTGTTGAGTACATCAAAATTATCACTTAAAAAGACAGTTCTTTGTTCCTGCAAATTATACGGCAGAATACAAACTTTTTTTTACAACACAGTCTAACATCCTCTTATCCTTCACTCCCCCCTCTTACTCACCTCCCTGTGCACCTTAGTGGCTCAGGCATGGTGGTGTAGTTATGCTTCACTGTGTGCATGTAGTAGTGTATGGAGAAAACACCCCCAATAATATAGTCACCATCCATTGAAAAGACAGGTAGACGAGTGGTACCCTGGAGCTTACATTTCAAAGATGAAGCCTCAGTTTTGACTTTAGCACCAGTGTTATCCTCTGTAAACCCAGCCCTTTGTTTGATTTCATCCCCAGAACCATTTAAAGCAAGAGCTGAGCTCAGCTCATGCAAACGCAGAGACAGGATCAGGCCAATCACGAGAGGTGAGATCTCCATCTCTCAACTATCTGCATGTGGGGATACTGTATGTGTTTATACCAGTTTATATAGATTTTCAGACAAAAGCTTCCCTCCTCCTAATGTGTGTCAGCTTATTGTACACCAGAAAGAGGATGCTCTTACCTATTGGTCACAAGGTTTACTTGATATATTTGAAAATAACATTTATAATCTGATTTAGTTGCAAATAATCAGAGGTTATCATCTGAAAGGTTAGATTTAGTACTCCAAACTTTGGAGGAAGCACCAATTTTTTTATATGTATCTGAATTTCAGTTCTAAGTACAGTAACATACTCTGATATATGATACACAAATTTATAACAAAGTCATTTAGTTAAGAATAACAATAAACCCTAATTTAAAGCCACCAAGCAGAACTGCCTCTGACAAACTAAGGTATCCTGAAATGGCCAATATACCCACCGAATATTTTGTGGTTATAGTGACCCAACTTTTATTTTCTTCTTTCTGTTGTCTTCGATTTCATGTCAGTAAAATGTATTTTGTTTGCATTGATTTTGGTTTTGGGTAAGGGATTAACTGAGCAACAAAAAGATTGATGAAGTTATCTGTCTTTCATTCATGCTTTTGTGCATATTTGCTATCTGTCGAATTCACTGATGCAAAGTGCCACCCAGGTAAATACAGATACCCACTTAATGGCTCACTCTGTTGCTACCACCTAGTGGACATTTTAGTCAAACTCAGAAAATATATGACAGCGAGTTGAATCAATCAGAGATTATACACAGCTCTGTGGTTAGTTTAAATGGATGTGACTGATATAATGTGTAAAACTCTTCATAACAATATTCTAAAATCAACAAAGCATATGGTCACATAAATCATAACAGAATCAAATGATTTAAAAGGAAATGGAAAATGAAGGCACATTTACACATTTTACAAACTACGTTAGTTCTATGAGCACAGAGAAGCCATGTGTGGACCCTGGGGATAGACCTGAAAAAGACCTATGCCTATGTTGGACTGAATATTTATTTGTGCTTTTATATTCATTTCTTTTATTCTTTTTATATTATAGTCATTTTGCCAAGTATATACAATTAATAAAGTATATAAATTAAAAATTAAAATGAATTAAATAAAATTAAAATTAAATTAAAAATATTTTGCATTATGGCCTTTTTAAACTAACTGTAATAAAATACAATTTCAATTCCACTTACTGGTATCTGTGTTGATTTGACTATCATATATTTTATTTTCTCCCAGCAGCTCCAGTCCTTGCCTATTTGCTTATTTTGATTAATTAAACAAATAAATAAATAAAATTCAATAAAATTTTGGTTTATTTTGAAATCACATCTCTCTCTCCTTGTTCCAGTAATGAGTCTGTGTGGCCTGTCCCCAATCTCCCCCGTATCTCGCTACCTTACAGTCATTTTGCCAAACATTCCTGTCAAAGTGACCAGCAACACTTTCCATCTGTCTTTTTCCAGGTGAAACTATTGGCGAAAAAACAGTTTTACAGGTATAGCAAACTTAAAAATAAGTCTCCTCAATGAAAACTCCTGTTTGGGGCATGAGGAAGTGCATGTTTTGGGCATAATTAATGAAAAAACATTGAGATAACAATGCTGAATATCTAATTAGGTACATGCTACAATTCAAATTCTAAAATGTTTCATCCAGACTTGATTTGACCCTCTGGTCAGTGATGAGCCCCACGGTCTTCATGTTGCCCAATCCTTTTAGGTTAGGGTACATTTAAAACTGGACAATTTCAGGAAACCTGCAAAGACTACACGAGGAAGTGTTTCACTGCTGGAGAGATGGCCTTTTCATAAACTTGAGCTGTCTATGCAGTAATAGGCTGTCTTCTATTGTTGCACATTACCAGAGAAAACAGACGTAAAAGGCTGTGGCATTTGCTTTTGCTCAAAAGCTGGGAAACCTACAACTACCAGAATGCACTGCACAGCACCAGACCAATAAACACTCCCGCTGATGGATGACATAATTCAAGCTGCCCATCTGAAAACAGTATGGTGGCAGCTGGTAACAATCTTGTATTACAGTTCAGCAGTACACTAAAAAGTTTCTGAAAACATCTTAGTGAAGAAATAGGCAACACAGTAACAGAATCTATTTACATTTCATCAACACATTGGTTTGTTCTAAAAAGGCCTTGTTGGAATTAGCCAACGCACTGCATTGTTCATCGACCTTCTTTTACTAATTCTATATACAGTGGAACTGTACTGAGCTGTTATTCATATTGCAGTATTAAAAACTTTATATTTAGACTTTTAGAGTTTCACAGTTATGTTTTCCCCTTGATGTGTATTTGGGGTTAAGAGAAAAACTCAAGATGAGCTCCAATAACAAAATAATTAGGAACTCAAAAATAAAAGTGATGAATATTAATTTACTCTTGACATTTTGTGTCTATGGAGCTAATTTGATATGTGTATGCCTTGCCCCTACATGACTGTCTGTGCCCAATGGGTGGTGCGAAACTATGACGAAAACCACCAAGGAGTTGACATATCCCTGCGTATAAAAACTATAAACTATAAAACTAAGTAACTGTGTTTGAATTGTTTCAGGGTTGTAGGGAGTACAGCAGTTATGGGGGAATTTCTGGACACAGTTTTGTTCCTGTATGTTGACCTGATCTTGATTTTGTTCCCTTCCTTCTTTTTCTTTTCAGAGTCTTCCTCTCCTTTCCCATCCTGTAAATTGCGGAGACAGTTTTACTTTAATGGGGTGCACAAGCCAGGTGATGTGATTCTAGGTGGGCTGTTTGAGGTCCACTACACATCGGTCTTCCCTGAAGAGACGTTCACCTCAGAACCACATCAGCTCATCTGCCAAGGGTAAGTTTCATTCACATGTAGCAGACAACATGCACGGATGATTTTTAGTAATGTATTACTTTTTATTGATTGATTGTGACATTTTATGTGCTAGCTTTGACACTCCAGGGTTCAGGCATGCCATGACCATGGCCTTTGCTATTGATGAGATCAACAAAAACTCCAACCTGCTACCTAATGTGACTCTGGGATACAGTCTTTATGACAACTGTGCAACACTTGTAATTGGATTCAGTGCTGCATTATCAATGGCCAGTGGTCGAGAAGAGCAGTTTCTGCAAAAAGAGACATGTTTGGGAACCCCTCCAGTCCTGGGGATTGTGGGTGATTCCATCTCAACATCTTCTATTGCCACCTCTGATGTGATAGGTTTATTTAGATTGCCCATTGTAAGTTTGCCTTCATCAGTCTTAGCTGTGTTTTTGATGCACTGTATTTTAATGTAGGCTATAATGAATTCTAAAATGATAGGATACAACATTTGCATAAACCCTTCTTCCAATTGTTATTTTTTGAAAATGGTTAAATCATTTGAATGTTTGTACTGATTTGCATGAAAAGTGAAACCTCTGTGCATACTGTATGTTTCAGGTGAGTTATTTTGCCACATGCTCCTGCCTAAGTGATAGGGGAAGGTTTCCATCGTTCTTTAGAACAATCCCAAGTGATGCTTTCCAGGTGAAACTCTGAAGAAACAAAATATGTTACACAGAAAGAAATACTTTGCCTGCAAAGTAGCTTTCTGTATTTTCTTTGTGAACAATTGATGAAACTACATGCATTTAGGAGAAGGAGTTTTGTGGAATGGTTTAATTGTACTGTGAGATATGAATATGTTGGTTTCAAGTGAAAAATTATTCTAAACTATCCACTGATCCCTCTGCTCTCTATTAAATCAGGTGCGTGCCATGATTCAGATTCTGAAACACTTTGGCTGGACTTGGGCAGGTCTGCTGGTCAGTGATGATGATTATGGACTCCATGTTGCCCGATCCTTTCAATCAGACCTGGCTCAGTCTGGTGGAGGTTGTCTAGCCTACTCAGAGATTTTACCCTGGGGTGACAACCCAGCTGAAATAAAAAGGATTGTGGAAGTGATGAAGACATCCACAGCTCGTGTGGTCATTGTGTTTGCACATCGGATCCACATGATTCAACTTATGGAAGAGGTATCTTTCTATATCATGTTTTTNGGTATGGACTAGTTATACTAAAATTATGCACTTTACAGGTGGTGAGGCAGAATGTGACAGGCCTTCAGTGGATGGCCAGTGAAGCCTGGACTGCAGCTGCTGTTCTCCAGACTCCACGTCTAATGCCGTACCTGGGTGGCACTCTGGGCATTGCCATCCGCAGAGGAGAAATACCAGGGCTCAGGGATTTTCTGTTAAGAATACGTCCTGACCTACATGACAGTAATAATTTTGGCCATAGCATGGTAAAGTTGTACCCTTATTATCAGATCTGTAATCAGAGTAATTAATATTGTTATTTCTGTTAAGACTTTGTTTTAAATACATTTCAGGTGAGGCAGTTTTGGGAGCAGACGTTCCAGTGTAGATTTGCTTCACCTCCAGCAGGTTGGATGGAGGCTGGGGAAGAACCGTGCACTGGTGATGAAGACCTAGAGAGTGTGGAGACTGAGTTTTTGGATGTTTCTAATCTCAGGCCTGAGTACAATATTTACAAGGCTGTGTATGCCCTGGCATATGCCCTTGATGACATGCTGCAGTGTGAGCCAGGGAGACGACCTTTCAGCAGGCACAGCTGTGCCACTCTGCAAACATTGGAGCCGTGGCAGGTGTGATATCAGTTTACACTCCACCTGTTTAGTTTTTGATGGCAGTAGTTGGTGGATTTGAATCCCCTGATTGTCTTGAGGTTAAAATCAAGTCAAAGTAAAATTCCCATTTCTTGTGACAAATTTAATTACTTTACTTACTTTAAAGAAATTTGGAAAGTTTACATTTACATGTCTGAAGTGCAGAACATCTGAACACTAGTATGACTCAACCTTCAATCTATCACATATATAGAAAAACAGATAACTGGTTGCTCTGTGTTGTAGAGTGTAGATTAAAAAATGTATCGGGTGCTTTTGGAAAAAAGGAGGGAAATCCAAAATACTGCAAACAGGAAAAGAATCCAGGCACTCCAAAACAAAAATGAGAATGAGGAAGGAAAAATAGATTAAAAACCCTTTATTATAATGGCCAACTCATTAAAAAGCCGACATGTTTCGATCACTGTTGGTCTTCATCAGGGCTGGAGAAAAAAAAAAAGCCTTGATGAAGACCAACAGTGATCGAAACATGTCGGCTTTTTAATGAGTTGGCCATTATAATAAAGGGTTTTTAATCTATTTTTCCTTCCTCATTCTCATTTTTGTTTTGGAGTGCCTGGATTCTTTTCCTGTTTGCAGTATTTTGGATTTCCCTCCTTTTTTCCAAAAGCACCCGATACATTTTTTAATCTACACTCTACAACACAGAGCAACCAGTTATCTGTTTTTCTATATATGTGATAGATTGAAGGTTGAGTCATACTAGTGTTCAGATGTTCTGCACTTCAGACATGTAAATGTAAACTTTCCAAATTTCTTTAAAGTAAGTAAAGTAATTAAATTTGTCACAAGAAATGGGAATTTTACTTTGACTTGATTTTAACCTCAAGACAATCAGGGGATTCAAATNAACTAAAGTTCAGAATGTGGGAGTTGTTAAGAAGTTGGCCTCCAAAGGTGAAGAACTCACACTTGATGAAGACAAAATCTTCTGGAACTTTGAATCCAAACAGGTTACTATTTTTTTGCCTTTTTACTGTATGACACATAAAAACAGAAACAAACAGTGCAGCATAACTATGACTTTACGTTTACAACCCCTACAGCCACCCCAGTCAGTGTGCAGTGAGAGCTGTCCTCCAGGTACCCGCATGGCTAGAAAAAAGGGGCAGCCTGTGTGTTGCTTCGACTGTGTCCCTTGTTCTGAGGGAACGTTCAGCAATGAAACAGGTTGGTATCATTATATTATAAAATGTAATGTATATAATACTATAAAACTACCCCTATCTCAAGCTTTTCTGAAGTGAGTAACTCATCTTTGTTATGATCCATCTTGCCAAGCTTGGCAAGGACGTTTCATACCTGCCTAGTCTATAGTACACACACACCTATCAACCCCTGCAAATCTCCAGTAAAGGAGAAGTGGGTGAGGGCCTCACCTTAGAGAAAGTGGTCTTAGCCAGTGGCACACAGCACTGTCTCCATTCATGAACACAATAATTGCTGTGATGATGTCAAGAAAGCGTGCATCACCTGCTATGGCCGTTTTGGTTAACATATTTAATGCCCATTGTGGCCACCAAATCTCAGTGCATATATCTACTCTCTAGGCATGGTGTCTGTTTCCCCCTACAATCTCCATACAGGAGAAAATAGAAAATTAAGACATGATGATGTCAGAAGACAAACATTACCTGACACATAGCATCCTTGATTGCATGTTCTCCCTGTGTCAGCAAGGGTTTTGTCTAGGTACTCTGGCTTCCTCCCACAGTCCAAAGACATGCAGGCTAGGTTAATTAGTGACTTTCAATTGGCCGTAGGATGAATATGAGCATGAATGGTTGTCTGTCTCTATGTGTTAGTCCTGTGATAGTCTGACGATCTGTCCAGGGTGTACCCCGTCTCTCGCCCAGTGTCAGCTGGGACAGGCCCCGGCCTTCCCCGTTACCCCATACAAAAAATGATGAATTGGAGGAAAGTATTAAAGGGTGAAGCCTGTGTGAGATAGAACCTTTGTGTGTGTATTCCAATTTACATTCTACACAGGCTAATGATAGATGTGTAGTGACAGGGACCACAACAAATGTATAAAATTGGTCATGCTAAGTTGTGACAGAAGGTAACAATTGTAAAATATTGCAGAAACAAAGAGAATCTCTTCTTGTTCTTCTCTTCTTAGACTCCATGGAGTGCACCAGTTGTCCAGAGGATTTCTGGTCCAGCCCCCAGGGTGACCACTGTGATCCTAAGGAAACAGAGTTCCTCTCCTATAATGAGCATCTGGGTATCTGCCTGACAACAGCCTCATTGCTGGGCACATTTATCTGTGATGTTGTCCTGGCAATCTTCATCTATCATCGCAGTACACCTATGGTACGTGCCAACAATTCAGAACTGAGTTTCCTGCTCTTGGTGTCACTTAAATTATGTTTCCTGTGTTCTCTGCTGTTTATTGGACGTCCCAGGCTGTGGACATGCCAACTGAGACATGCAGCATTTGGGATCAGCTTTGTGCTTTATGTATCATATATAATGATAAAAACAATGGTGGTTCTGGCTGTGTTCAAGGCCTCCAAGCAAGGAGGTGGGGCCAGCCTGAAATGGTTTGGTCCTTTGCAGCAGAGAGGAACAGTTATGGTTCTTAAATCTCTTCAGGGAGCAATCTGCACTGCTTGGCTTGTCTCTTCATCACCAGCTCCTCATAAAAACACTCAATACCACAATGACAAGATAGTTTATGAGTGTGTAGTTGGGTCCACCATTGGTTTTGGAGTGTTACTGGGCTATATTGGCTTATTGGCCATCCTCAGCTTCCTGTTAGCATTCTTGGCAAGGAATCTTCCAGATAACTTTAATGAGGCCAAACTCATCACTTTCAGCATGCTGATCTTCTGTGCAGTGTGGGTGGCCTTTGTCCCTGCTTATGTCAACTCCCCAGGAAAATATGCAGATGCAGTGGAGGTATTTGCCATCATGGCCTCAAGTTTTGGCCTGCTGGTTGCTCTGTTTGGACCCAAATGTTACATAATCCTGGTGAGACCAGAGAGGAACACAAAGAAAGCAATCATGGGTCGAGGAACCCCCAAGACATAAAGCAAAACTTATGATGCTGTCTGTATTTTACAGTCCTTTACAAGCCTAAAACAATAGCTTTCTTTTGACCTTTAAAGTTTCTTTATATGAATAAAAAATCAAAACAAAATGGAAATAAATAAAGCTATAAATAAATAACTGAATCCACCAATTCTGCCTTTCTTTATCGTAACTGTTTCCTGGTATTTGAGAGAAGTACAAAATGTCCGTCAATGTCTAGCTGTGAGGTAGTTGTATTACTTTCTGTTGACTCAAAACATCACATACTTTTATTCCAAATGACAGAGGCTTGGCACCACCATCTCACTCACCATTTTAATGGGTGTGAATTCTGGAGGCATTCAGAAACTAGGATTTTCTTTCTAAACTTTCATTATTATTATTCTGTACTGCTTTACGTTTTCCTTTTTTTTCTTTTTTTTTTTCAACTTAACTCCCTCTATATTTTTCAACCTAGAGTCCTCATTCAAACATCAAAATGTTGATCTCAATTAGAACATTATTGCTGTTGCATTTATCATACCTTTCAAGCTTTCAGAAATATTCAGCATTTTTCAGGATTTTTTTTTCCTATTCTAATTAATGGAGGGAATATTCAAATTACTCACAAATTTGCATTTTTTCCACTATCCACACACTCATACATGTACAAAGAAACTCTATTCAGATATTAAACTGTTCCACATCTTTTATACATTCGGGGTGTTATTCAAATGTCAAATCCCATTAAAACATTTTAAATATTCAACCCTCTTTGAAGCTTAGTAAAAACAACCTCCGATTTTTGTTTGATTCATTGTATTTTGTACAGTGTGTATGTGACAGACTTTGAAGTTTTAAAATCTTGTGAAAAAAAGAAATGTTAAACTTGCTCTTGGTCCCACAATTTTCAGTATTCATGCATCATTTAGGTCAAGATGTTGAAAATTTTTGCTGGTCACAAATATGTAATGATGGACTCAAACACACCTACACTTGGCACTGTGAATCTGAAAGTGACAGCCATGTGCACTACCTTATATTGTGTGGGGTCTACACATATTCAGGTATGCATACCTTGATTGACTGGCTAAATTTGTGCAAATCTCAGGGGGTGAATGCGTGCTTGTGATTTGCAGAAAGCATTACCTATATTCTCATTTAGTTTTAGATAAAACTACAATATAGAAAATGAAGGTTACAATATTGTAACCCTAGTTCTATCAGCACGGGCAAAGCCCTCGACTGGACTCTGTGGGTAATATTACTCCTCCAATCGTGAGCATGCAGTCGCATACTGAAGAAAGCATAAAAGTAGCCCGCCAATCAGGATGTGCTTACCTGACAACATGCAGAGCCCACAGTATATATGGAAGTGGATTTCCTGCACCAGACATCCTACATCCTCTTCAATGAGTGGTATAGGAGCAACAGGGCCCATAGGTAGAGGGCTCCACCTGTGCTAATGCAACTAATGTCACAATATCATAAACTTTGTTCTATCTCACACAGTCTCAGCCCTCTACGGGACTTTTTGGGTACAGTGGGAGCCTGATGAATAACATAATCCCAGCCACACTGATCCTGACCAGCTAAACATTCTCCTATCAAGTTTGTTTTTATAGATCATAACTTTTGCATGGGAAGTAGCGTACGCCTCCTACAGGCCTTGTTATGTGCATACACAATTGTTATAAATGAGACTTCTGGTCCGTTTGTTTGGAAAGAAAGAGACCAGTGGCCAGTGGCCTAGCACCTGCTAATAATTAGATTACACTACAATCAAATCTTTTGGGGTACTGACATTTTTTAGGTTACCAGATAAATCCCAGTTCTCTGAGGTTTGAATGATGTATCTCTGGAAGGCAAGTGCCTTCTGGCATGACTAATCCCGGAAGCTCCACTACTACCACAACTGTCAGGTGACAGACCAATCACTTGAATTGCACAAGCAGGCCAGTCTCTAACAACCCTAAACATGGCAAAAAGTTCAGTGTGGTGAGATACCTGACTCAGAGAACTACGGCTACCCTGGTGAGCAAATGTTCTCTTTGAAACCTCCCTCAGTACTTCACAATGGGAGATATGACCCAATCCTAAATTGCATATTTCCGAAGCCAATAATGAATCAAAACTGAGAGGACCAACACCATGAACCCTAGTCATGGACTTATAGCGACATGCCTATGAAGAACTCACACTGAGGACTAAATGCATTAGGGAAGGTAGTGTCACCAGCTGTAAAACCAAATAATTGTATCTGAATGCCAGTCAGTTGGAGTTGGAGAGTTTGGCGCATGTCCTTATTAGCATACTGCAGTTCTTGCTAGTGATATGCATAAAGAAAGCAACAATGTTGTGTTTAGGAATGCAGACTTTCATAAAGGGGCCAGCCTTGCCCTTGCAACTCATGTGATTGACCTGTCCCATGAAAAACGTGGTGGTAGTTGGGCTGCTGTGATCTCTCATGCCAGACCAGACATTGTATAGTAAGGCAACATAAATGGGGGTTGCGGGGGGGCTGACACATAGAGACAGAAAACCATTCACACTCCCATCCACATCTACGGGCAATTTAGAGTCACCAGTTAACCTAACCTGCATGTCTTTGGACTGTGGAAGGAAGCTGGACTACCCAGAAAAAAACCCACACTGACACAGGAAGAACATACAAACTCAGCAAAGAGGGGCTCCCCCACCCTGGATTTGAACCAGGAACCCCTTTGCTTTGAGGAGACAGTGCTAACCACTAGCCTTCCACTAGCCACCTTCTCTTAAGTTTACACAAGAAAATAAATCATATTTATAATGCTAGATAAAAATATTTCCCACACAACAATGCACACACACAATAAAATGTATACAAAAAAAGAATGTTATTTTGTCATAAATTTAGAAACGGTGCTCATAGTGTGAACATAATTGTTGCCATTGCTGTATTGCTTTGCTCTTGTTCATCTATTATCTCAACTGTGTTTACAGAGTTTTCCCTTTACTTTGCACATTTGAGGTAAAAACATGATTTATCTGTCACTCTGCTCAGCATAATTCTTTACATTTGACAGACAGAAACTCAAGGTGAGCTCCAGCTTCGCCAATAAAAATTGATTTAAGACCTCAAACATATGAGTAATTAATAGAAAATAAATGTAATTATGACATTCTCTGTCTGTTGAGCTAATTTAAGATGTATATGCCCTGCCTCTCTGAGCCCTGATGGGTGGTGTTAAATTATGACAAAAAGCACCAAAGGAGATGACATAGGCTATAAAATTAAGCAACCATGTTTGAAGCTCAGTAACAGGGGAGTAGAGATGAGGGCAGTTATGGGGGCAGTTCTCAACACATTTTTGTTATTATATGTCGACCTGATCTTGATTTTGTCCTCTTCATCCATTTTCTAGACAAAGGCTTCCTCTCTTTTCTCATCTTGTAAATTGAGGAGACAGTTTTATTTTAATGGGATGCACAAGCCAGGTGATGTGATGCTGGGTGGGCTGTTTGAGGTCCACTATACCTCAGTCTTACCTGAGCTGACGTTCACCTCAGAACCACATCAGCTCATCTGCCAAGGGTAAGTTTCACACACATAGCACACAATGTGCACAATGGATAATTGATAATGTACTTTTTGCATAATATTTTGTGGTTGATAGTGACATTTGTTGTGCTAGCTTTGACCCTCCAGGGTTCAGGCATGCCATGACCATGGCCTTTGCTATTGATGAGATCAACAAAAACTCCAACCTGCTACCTAATGTGACTCTGGGATACAGTCTTTATGACAACTGTGCCACACTTGTAATTGGATTCAGTGCTGCATTATCATTGGCCAGTGGTCGAGAAGAGCAGTTTCTGCTCGAGGAGACTTGTTTGGGAACCCCTCCAGTCCTGGGGATTGTGGGTGATTCCATCTCAACATCTTCTATTGCCACCTCTGATGTGATAGGTTTATTCAAACTGCCCATTGTAAGTTTGCTTTCATCTGTCTTAGCTTTGTTTTTGATGTGCCGTATTTGAATGTAGGCTAGTTCAAATTTTAAAATAACAGGATAGACCATATACATAAAATCTTTCATCCTGTTTCTCCATCAAGCTTTGATTTGTTTTCAAGTTGGGTTTTTATTTTAGATGATTTAAATGTTTTCATTGGTGAGATCATTTGAATGTTTGTACTGATTTGCATGAGAAGTAAAACCTCTGTGCATACTGTATGTTTCAGGTGAGTTACTTTGCCACATGCTCCTGCCTAAGTGATAGGGGAAGGTTTCCATCGTTCTTTAGAACAATCCCAAGTGATGCTTTCCAGGTGAAACTCTGAAGAAACAAAATATGTTACACAGAAAGAAATACTTTGCCTGCAAAGTAGCTTTCTGTATTTTCTTTGTGAACAATTGATGAAACTACATGCATTTAGGAGAAGGAGTTTTGTGGAATGGTTTAATTGTACTGTGAGATATGAATATGTTGGTTTCAAGTGAAAAATTATTCTAAACTATCCACTGATCCCTCTGCTCTCTATTAAATCAGGTGCGTGCCATGATTCAGATTCTGAAACACTTTGGCTGGACTTGGGCAGGTCTGCTGGTCAGTGATGATGATTATGGACTCCATGTTGCCCGATCCTTTCAATCAGACCTGGCTCAGTCTGGTGGAGGTTGTCTAGCCTACTCAGAGATTTTACCCTGGGGTGACAACCCAGCTGAAATAAAAAGGATTGTGGAAGTGATGAAGACATCCACAGCTCGTGTGGTCATTGTGTTTGCACATCGGATCCACATGATTCAACTTATGGAAGAGGTATCTTTCTATATCATGTTTTT